ATTTATTATTGCAACAGTTATTAGTTAATGATTGAGGAAGAAAAGAAAAGTTTTTGTCATAGTTGTTGGGTATTTATCAGATTGACTGACTGTTTTTTAAATATCAATCATACCAAATTTATATCCTTTTTCTTCTTAGCTTTGTTCTTTTTTTTCTTTTTTTATTTTTTATTTTTTTTTTTTGCCAATTTTAAATTAATGAAAAATTGTTTTTTTTTACATTTTTCACCTTCTAATAAGGCCATCGTCATCATCATCATCATTATCATAGTTTACTTTATCGACATCTATGTCGTCTTCAATCATAAAAATTGTTTTTTTTTTTTCCTCTACAGTTTTGATACAGACAACAGTATTGTTGTATATCCTATCAAATATTTTCTCACTATTTAATTTGTACATTCAACAAAGAACTGTTTCTTTTTTTTTTTCTTTACCTGCCATTTAAACGTCATTCAAATTCACTGTAGCAGATATAAACTACTAAACAAAAAAAAAAAAGCAGAAAGAATAAAAAAAATTTTTCTTTTTTTTTATATAACAGTATTATGGGTCATTTTCAATGAGTCAGATCACAGCTGCTGTACAATAGACGAAAGAAAACTGTCATCTCAATATTTCTTTTACAGTGCAAATGAATCTTTTTTTCTTCGAAAAAAAAACTGCTTTTTAGTAACTTTACAACTGTTCAGTATTCACTGTTATCGACAAATAAACAGCAAAAAAAAACAAAGAAAGAAAAAATTGAACAAGAAAAATAAAAAAGAAATGCAACAATTTTCAAAAAAGCAGTAAATTTAGACATTCTTACAACTATCTGATGGTAAAAGTAACTGAAACGTTGATTGTATGAGAGGGATTGCTTTCAGGTGCAATTGTTCATTGGCCAACAACTAATAAGCATCAATAATTAACAGATGAAACTAGATTCTAACATAGCCTCATATAAGATTTCTGTCTCCGATACAGTTAATGATGGTGACGACAATTTCAATATGTACAATTTTGTTACATTAGAATATACATAAAACATTAGACTGTCTGTCAGCCATCATTCATCATGAAACTGACGACCAAAAAAAAACCTCAATCAATCAGCTAACATTGACTGAACACTGACTGACCTCAAACAGCGTCAACGGATCAACCAAGTTGATAATATAGTTGTTATCAAACCTTCTCTTTGTGTCTTTAGATAAAAACCTTGTTTGATAACTTTATATGTAAGCACTGTAAATTTGCAAAATAGTAATTTAAAGACGAAGAAAAAAAAAACACAAAAAAGCAAAACAAATAACAGTTTGTGCAATAAAAAATTATCAACGAAAAAAAAAAAAAAAAAA